GCCAACCATTTAAAAGATCTCTTGACTGATACCCCTTTTCACAGAAGCGACATCATTGTGCTACAGGTAGTTCCATTTCCGCTGCATTTTCTTAGCTAACCTTGTCGTGCCAACTCAGCGCAACCTTCTAGGATCCAAATCATCTTGAAAAATTCAACATGGAGAAGTTCTTCCATGTCCAGTTCGATCCAAAAACAAAAGAACAATTAGAAAAAGAGAAGAAGGAAATGCAGGTTAGTAGCGTAACAAATGCTTCAAATTTTCTGGTCAGAGATACGCTTGATTTTTATCTCCATTTTTTTTTCTTACTACCATGCAATTTATTACTACTGCTCAGGATCCGAAATTCTATATTCGTCGTATGAATAACGAAACCAAGGAGGCTTTGGATCAGCTGAAGAAGGATTACATACCGAAGAAGGTATGGCTCCTTCCTCCATCGATGTTTTGTACATGAGCAACTATCATTATATATCTATATCTATACTTGGTAGAACACTTTATAACTTCAGTCCCAGACTTTGTTCGACTTTAGCTTTCTAAAAACAAGAGAAAGATCGGAGTCCTAGTAACGATTCCAAAAGAAATATATACCAGAAGACCACTGTCGAACATCTATTCGAAATGTTTTCCATATCTGCTGAACAACACTCTGGGAGGGCTGCAAACTTTTCTTTCTGCTCATTTTCCAGTGAAGCTTGTCTAGCCAAACTAAGCTCGTTGGTCGATTGAGTCATTGGCGAAATGGCAAATCTCTTACTCGATAGGATTCAAAACCAGATGAGGATATGTTAGATTTCATCATTTTGCTTTCTTATTTATTATTATTGTTTTCTGAGTGTGTGTAGAACAACTAGATACATCCACATGTTTTATTTTTTCAAAAATTAAACAAACGTTTAATGGGCATGTGAACACTTGTACCAAGCTTACTTAGCTAACATATCGAGTTATACAAATGATTTGATTTGATTTTACCTGCAGATCAGCCTCATAGAGAGATGTGTTAGAATTGTGCATAAAGGATGAATCACATCAATCGTCACTGAGGAAGAACAGCATCGGCCAAAAACTTTTGAACTGAGCGGAAAATTAAAGTTACCAGCACAACAGTCTAGTTCAAGATTCTGCTGTATAGGTAAAATCAGTTCATAAGAAATATTCTATGGATGTAATAATAATATAAATAGGAACAGATGAAGTATGGATGTATCAAATCGTTTTATACACAGCAAATAATAAATAAGAACGCAAAACAATAGGATAGTAAGGTTCAAATTACTAAATCTTAGCGAACAAAAGGCTTACCACGCTGGCTCACTCAACCATGAAACCTCATTTCGGATAAATAAGCATTTTCTGAAGAGTGGGCGGAAAAAAACCAATGCAGCTTTTTTCAGTGTCGTTCAGCAGATATTTAAAAAACGGATTTGGGATAGACGTTTGTAGAGATACCTTTAGCATGCATTTCCGGAATGTTACTGCGAGGCCGCACCCTTGTATAAATTCAATGAATCATTCACAACGTTTTTTGCAGATCGAACCCCCACCAGAAGAAACCGCTGATGAAATCAATGCGGCACATTACAGGTAAGTACTATCTGTTCCTGCTAGTATCACGAAAGCTTATTTTGCATATCTAGCCAGGGTCAAGTTGCTGCTGGATTCACTTCCACTACCATGACACCTATAACAAAGCAAAAAGCAGCTGTTTTGTCCGATGAGGCTGTTCGGTACGTCTTTCAAAAATCCTGCTTTAACAAAGCGTAAAGCCAATGTTCAGATATTCTCGGGTAAAGAAAAACGGTTATGTGCGAATAATCACTAATCACGGATCT